TTGCATTTTCATGTTTGTAGGAAAAAAATACTTTAGTGATTATATATTTATGTCCTCAAAATAAAATCAATACTATTTAACATTTATGCCTGTCAAGAAATTAATATTGAAATATTTGAACTTTTAATTCAATAGTTACCAGAAACATTCTCAGAAAAGGAAGGGAGGGAGGGAAACAGACAGATTGGGCATCTGGCACACACCTGTAATCCCATCACTTGGGAGACAGAGGCAAGAGTGATGAACCTGAGGTGAGGCTAGACCAAACAGAGTTCCACACTAACCTGAGCTTTACAACAAGACCCTGCCTAAAAACACAAAACAAACAAACATACAAACACAACTACAACAACAAAAACAGGCAACTGTGCTGGTTGGTTTTATGTCAACTTGATACAAGCTGGAGTCATTTGTGAAGAGGGGGATCCCCAAATGAAAAAATATTCCCACCAGATTGCCTGTGGCAAGCCTATGGGGTGTTTTCTTGATTGACGTGAGAGGGCCTAGCTCACTGTAGGTGGTGCCACCCTTGAACAGGTCCAGGGTGCTCTAAGAGAGCACGCTGAGAAAGCCATGAGGAGCAAGTCAGTGAGCAGCACTCCTCCACAGCTTCTGCCCCAGTTCCTACCCTGAGTTCCCGCTTGGCTTTCTCAGTAATGGACTTATAAATTGTAAGACCCAGTAAGTTCTTTTCTACCCAGGTTGCTTTTAGTTGTGTCTTATCGCAGCAAAAGAAACCTTGACTAAAACAGAAAATTGGTACCAGGTTTGTGAGATATTGCTGCCACAAGACCTGACCATGTTCTGGGGAGGACTGTGGGAAGACTGGGATTCTGGGTGAGCAAAGCCAGAGTATTTAGAGCTTATGTCCTGCTGTGGGCACCTGGAAGATAATGCCAGGGCTAAAACAAAATAGCTGTTATGAAGAGACCAGCATCACTGAAGTAAAACGTGCTGGGCAATGTTTCCTCAGGAAGTACACAGAAGCTGTGGTAGAGAGAGAGCCAAAGCTTTACCTTAGGCTCACAGCCAAACTTGGTAATGTGTAAGTTTCCCAGGTAGTACTAGTTTTGAAGGCATAAAAAAGTGATGGGAGATTAGCTGAGGCTTGGCACTGTGAGAAGGGCCACTGAGACCAGAGGACCATCTGGGATCCTACAAGCTAATCACTGATTTTTTTTTAAATACTGCTCAACCTTGGTTTTGTTTTCATCTGACTGTAACTGTTCCTTGCCTCTTCTTTTTTGAAATAAAAAGTATGTATCTTTGTTGTTGTTTGTTTTTTGAGACAGCCTTGGCTGTACTGGAACTCACTTTGTAGACCAGAATGACCTCAGACTCACCGAGATCTGTCTGCCTCTGCCTCCTGAGTGCTGGGATTAAAGATGTGCACCACCACCACCCAGCGTATAACTTATTTTTTATTTTACAAGAGCCCACAGCTATCCCAGAACTTAAAATCCTAACTCAGTGTTCCTAGTGTTTGCATGAGCCATCACGCCTGACTATGACTCTTGATTATTCACCATCAGTTATGTTTTACACAGCTGATTTTTAAAAATTTATTTATTTTATGTGTATGAGTATCTGGCTCTGTGTATGTATCTGCACCGTGTGCTTGAAGAGGCCAGAAAAGGGTATAGAATTCCCCTGAACTGGAATTTTATAGATGGTTGTGAGCCCATGTGAGTGCTAGGAATCAAACCTGGGTCCTCTGGTAGTGCAGCCGGTGCTCTTAACCTGTGAGCCAAGTCTCCAGCTGTACATAGCTAATTTTTATCTAAAATGATTTCTGCTACCTAAAATATTCATTCACAAAGAATGCTGTTCTAGGAAACAAATTTTTTTAATAATCTAAACAAGGGGCTGGAGATGGTTTAGTGGTTAAAAGCACTGGCTGTTCTTCCAGAGGACCTGGGTTCAATTCCCAGCACCCACATGGCAGTTCCCAAGTATCTGTAACCCCAGTTCCAGGGAATCCAACAGCTTTACACAGACAAACATTCAGGCAAAACACCAATGCACAAAAAATAAAAATAAAAATAATGTTAAAAAAAAATCTAAACAAAATGTGATTAACTATGTTATGAAAAGGTCTCACAGGAGCTCTGGAATAGACAGTAATGATTTAGCTTTGTAGTCAGGTGTAGTGGGTAGCCATTCCAGCTTGGTTCTGGAAGTTCCAACCCCCATTGAGACTCTGGCAACTGTCACGCCTACGAGGCGGGGCGAGGGGAGGCGCCTGGGGACCCGAGAGCTGGATGGGCCAGCGCTCACTCTGGGCGCTCTCTCGGTGCCGGAACGCTGACCGGTGCAGATTGACTGTGCAGAGCTCC